GGACCACTGCAGTGGGGCCCACATCAGTGTTCTCTACAATTTTCTTTGATTATTTGTTACTCAAACCAAGGTTCATAATTTTGATACAAAACACCACATATCAAGTGTATCATATCCTATCAGAAAGTCCTCAATACAAGAAATACAGGGGTTTTGACCATTTTCAGGGGGTTGGCAGGCCTAAGACAGACCCCCTGACCAATTTTGAAAAAAAAAAATAAAGAAAAAATTTAAAAAAAAAAAAGTTGTGGTTCGAAACAACTGATACACATGTTCATGCATATTGGGTGTAACACTTTGAACCTTGACAGAAACATCAATTTTTTTTGCTTACCTAACATTACACCCAATTCAATGATGGTTTTTCTCCTATGTAATTCCAAGCCCACACTAAATCGGGTTAGATTATTGGACATTGCACAAGAGTAACTGTTTTATGGTTTACTTGGTGTGAACAAAATGCTAGAATATTAAAGAACAAAAGGTAGAGGATGTAGTGATCAAAGTAAGGGCGACCAATTGGGCATTGATTAAGGATGGATTCAAAGGAGCTCCAATGGACTCACTGTTGAGAGGGTGGTCTAGAGTTGTTAGTCTTCACATCAAGGATTAATAATCATCCAGCCTTGGAGACATCAGAAGAAGACACAATCACACAAATTAAATTGTGATGGTTGTAGTTATGAAAATGGCTGTATTGAACAGAGTGGAATGGTGGAACAGGATTCTTGTAGGGTTAGGACAAGGCTTAGGCTGCATTTTAAGGACTTACCTCCTTTTTCCATTTAAAATAACCCTATGAAAACTAAGTTTTTAACTGCAAAAAGGAGACAAGTCCTTAAAATAAGGAATGCCAAATGCAGCCTTAGTAGAGTTGAGTAAAGGTTGTAGCCATAGAAATCCAGAGCAATCAGGCATAGGTGGGGTAAGAAGAGATGACAATGGCTCTATGTTACTTAGCTACTCAGGCCCCATCAGAATCAGAATGGATAACTCCTTCAGAGCTTAGACAATTGTCTTACTTCAAGGTCTAGGATTAGTTTCTTCCTACAACCAGCCAAATCTAATTGTTTAAGGTGACAGAAATTGTTATTTCATCATTTGTTTTGAGAAATTTAGGTCCTTGGGTTCCCAAACACTTGATCAGAGAAGCTAAAGCATGCTTCAAGTAGGCACCTCATTCTGCCAATCACTTTCCAGATGGTTCCGCAAGAGCTGGAGTGGTCACAGAGGATCTGATTTGGGAGGATCTAGGTTTGGAGGTTAACTTGTAATAAACAATGACTAAGAGATCATGCAGCAAGACAGACTATGGTTGCTTCTTTTATTCGACCTCAATTCCATTCCTAGGATTGAGGCTTTCACCTCTCTTTTATGCAAAATAGTTACTGCTATTAATAAAAATGAATAATACACTAAATAGTATTAGACCTGGACAGCTCTGTCCCACTGTCTTTATAGAAGACATGACATGAAGCAAAGCAACAACAAATGCAGAAAAGGTAAAATCAGCTTAATGAAGAAAAGAGAATAAAATATCACAACAATTTTACCTGCCAAAGAGCTCCCATGCTGTGGCTCGGAGCAAGTAGGACGCTCCTGCTAGTTGCAGTACATACCCAGGAATGGAACTTGGTTGTGAACCAAACTGGAAAGCATCAGAACCATTTTCAGATCGGTTTTCTTGAGATAAAACTGAAGAAGCCATAGGTTTTTGTAGGTTCTTTAGCCATGCAGTACTAAAAGCACCATCAATAGTTAGTGATGCACCATCTGATCCAAATTCACTAAGCAAATAAGAACTTAATCTCAGTTCCTGTAATACCATTAGCAAAAAATTCATCAGTAATTTGATGAAGATAACCGGATATGTGCATATTAGAAAATAATTATAAATACTTTTCACAATACCTTGCAGACATCAATAGGACATGTTCTGAGTTTTGTAGAAGCTTTGGGACCAAATGATAGCAATGGTCTCTTAACATGCTGCAAGAAGTGGTGCTTATTTATCAGAAAACAGGAATTTCAAAACAGTGGAGCAAATGTATCTCTAAAAGAACATGTTTATAAATAATTAAAGGTTGGTAAAATAAATATAGGTATGTATATAAAGCAACCCTTCACAGAAAAAGCAACAAATATTTCATCAAATAATAGTGCTATATCTTCCCTAAGCCGGTTTATAATCATTGACATAAGCTCATCTCTTTGGCCAAAAGATTGTTCAGGTATGTAGGATCTGCCAATCTGTGAAACAATATGTGGAACCATTAACCATAAACTTTTGCTTTTGGACTTTGGCTTAGTTAAGTCAAAAAGCACAACATTAGACCTTCAGAGTTAGGTTGCATCTGCTTTGAGAAGCCAAACCACTTGAACCAAAAGTTCATTTAAGGCCCAAATTGGAAGTCCATTCTTTGGACTTTAGACTTTTGGATTTGGCTTTTCAATAGGTTAGATTTCAAAGATGTCAACCTAAGAGGGGTGGAGACTTTTGGATTTGGATTTTCAATGGGTTAGATTTCAAAGATGTCAACCTAAGAGGGGTGGAGAGGTCTGTTACAATGAACCCTCACTTCATAGCACTTTTATTTTTTATTCATTTTGTATCAGCTTGAATTGCCTCCTAGTATGAGAGAGTATGAGACACTCTGTTTGGAATACCTCTATGGATGGATCTCTTCACTTAAGATTGTTTTCAAAAATAATAAAGTTCTTCTATCAACTAAAAACAGAATTACAAGTTTCAGCTATGAAGTAAAATTGGTCCTAAATCACATCCAACATATACCCAAGATGAAATCACTATTGCATTGGAGGGTACTAGGAAAATATGTTCCTTTTTAATTATTGCCATATACCAGCATGTATCAATCTGTACATTGACTTGCAAGATAAGTGTACAAGATCAAGGCGTCAAGTAACCAGTAGAAATCTGCCGAATTAAAAAATATGAAAGGAAGTAGTTTCTTGAAGAGAGAAGGAAGAGAGAAGGAGAAGAAGAGAAGAAGAGAAGTTGAAAGAAAAGAGAGCCATAATCTGGCCGCCCCCTTCACTTATTATTCATACTAAAATAATAGAATAGTACAAAGACAACTATGCCCTTATAGGGCGGCAAAACATAAAACAGCATATAAAACATTCAAAAAAACATAATAAAATTTGGATTCACATAACTACTGTGGTCCCCACCTCCTATCTAACAACTAACATAAAACATCTACTCAAAAAAACATCATAAAACTAATTAATCTTCAACATAACCAAACAACATGGTTCATCAATTGATGCTACAAGCCTACAAAACCTATGGCAATATTATCATACACATGCCATCAGCAATTATGCTCCACAAAAGAACAGGACATATCATAGGGTATGATTGCCCGCCAAAAGAAAAGAGAAGCATTGTAGAAATAAAACAGATCTTTTTAGGGCATAAAATGCATTTCCAGATAAACAAGGATAATGTTAATAATGGTCGGAGGATAATGTGTCTGCAAGTCTACCGTAAGATCAAATTTAGCCATTGCAAGACGATTAGAAGCCACAAGCCGTGTCAGCTTTAGACTCTCTGCTCTCTTTAGTGACCTTCTCAATAGCACAAGCAATTGTTGCTGAATTGACAATGAAGTACCTATGCTGGTAACAGGTGAATATGATGAGGCAATGATTCCAGTTGCATTCGAGATGCCAATTTCAGACAAAAGGTTGCAAATAGATGTCAGTGTATAAGCAAGACAGGTATCATTATTATGCTGCACAAAAAAAAATAAATACATAAACCTTGTTAGGCAAGATATAAGAAAAGCTCTGCTGAAATATCTGATACCAAAACCAATTACAAAAGGAACAGGGAAAGAAGTGAAGAAAAGAAAGAGAATAAAAACAAAAGATGTAGCTTCACTGCTTGAGAGGAAGAAATGGAAATTCCAATACACAAGTGTCTGTGTACTTCACTGAAAAACATAATTACATATATACAAAATGGTTTCCTAATCAGGTCAAGTAGGGAGATTCCTTAAATGACCTACCATATTTTTGTTAAGGACAGGTTATATGGTTCAACCAAATCATCCAAAAAGGAAATTCTCCACTCCATGTCAATCCTATCTCCATATTAACATCTGCGCCCCGCAGCACATTCCAACCGTGTATTGGGAACACCTCCCAATGACAACTACAGGAGATGTTCCCAATGCACACTGAGATGTGCATGTGGGCGCCTGTGAGGTGCAGATGTGATCTCATCTCCATCTTGTATTGACAGCTTACCCAATTAACATGAACTGTTCAACGTAAAACTTTCAATTCAAAAATGGCCTTAAAACAATCATGTTCTGAACACACGGCAAGACCTTTTGGGCTTAAACCTTGCTACATGTACAAACCATTTTAAGGAAATTTTATACTAAAGATTTTACTTTGAACAGTTGACTTTTATTCATTCCATATATATAATTCCATATTATTCAAAAAGGTTATAGTTGTCCCTTGAGAAAAAACTCTGAAGAATGAAGATGGAGAGTGCAGTTTTGAAGCCAAAAAGGTCATGGTGAAAGAGAGTGCAAATAACAGAGGGGTCATGGGTGAATTTGAAGATAAAAGATGTGCATCAAGGAACTATTCTCAAGGTGGGAGAAACACTGGTGTGATTCAAGCGTTTTCTAGACGAAACAATGTTCATGGATCATCAGCTTACATGGAGACACATGCCAACATGAGAAGCAAAACATTATACAGCAGAGAGGAAAAGGAACAGCAAGGGCCAGTTTGTGAGCCTGACTGAGGTGTTACGAGCAAACAAAAGGCAAATGATTTGTATCCCTGAAAACAAGAGAGTATGGATTATGGAGTTGGAGGTCTTTTTCAAGAATAATACAGGAATACATCAAAGAAAAGAAGATAGATATGAATGAAAGCAGTCAAGCACCAGAGGAGTCTTTGCCTAAAGGGACTCCACATCAAGGGAGATTGAAAAATGTTGGAAGGAGAGCCTGAACGTCAAGAGGAACTCCACATCAAGGGTATTTGGAAAAACAGAAGTTCTGCTGGAGGTACATGAGACAATTACAGATTTGAGTAGGGATTTCAAAGATCTTTGGAAGAACAAAAGTTCTGCTGGTGGTACATGAGACAATTACAGATTTGAGTAGGGGTGTCAGTGGATCAGGTTAATTGGTAAATCCACACTGGTAGTCTATACTGACCTGACATTATTGGGTTAGGGTCGGATTAGCCTTTAATCAGGTTTCAGGTCGGGTCCGGTTTCAGGTGGGCATGTGCTAAACCTGTCCCATTGGCATTACAGCATCAAAATATATGTACATATAGGTTTGGTTGAGTAAAGATATGCCATATATGGGACAGGACAGATCAGGTCAGGTTTGGGGTGATGGTGCTTCAGATCTGGTTTGGGCTGAACTGAAGCCGACCCATTGACATCCTTAGATTTGAGCATGAAGGTGTAAACACCATTGGGGATGGTTGTGGTTACTAAATGGTGACCAGGTTCAAATATGATGTCTTGTAGCACTAGAGCCAATGCTATCATAGTGTGTATATGATGAGTTACCACTCACCTCGGAAGCCCCTTCGAGGGTGGCTTAACCTCCTGAAACAGAAGATGGGAGGGGAAAGGAGAAAGGTAGCAAGAAAATGACTCAGAGAGAGAGATGAAAGGGATATTCATTCACGCCACTTATTACATGATCAAGGCCTTATATAGCTGGCCTACATGTATGCAATCATGGAGAGAATATCTTCTGGTGGCAGTGTAACT